TCAAGAATATCATTCATAATAGAAAAAAAAAGAATATCACATCATCTCTATCATAAATCACACATGAATTCTACAGCTAAAGGATCAACTGCGATGTGACCTCAAGTAAAAAAGTGACACTGGCATTAAACTATGACAGGAGTATGGATCATTTCAAAACCCGCCCATATTAAATTTAGAGTGTTAAATCATTCATACACAAATTATTCCTAGGCACTGGTTGCTCTTCCCACTGTGCCTATCACACTCTTCCCATTTTCATCCCACCTTCTAGTTTCTATCCAGCCTCCGTGCCTTTCCATATTTGCCTTTGGGAAAATGTGACCCATTTACTGTGGTATAATTGATTGCTTTGAGCATGTTCTGCATGGATGTTGTTGTTAGGTGGAAGCAAGTTGACTATGAGTCACGTTGACCGTGTAAACAATTGATCTGAACCCTGCCCTATCCTGTGCTGTCTCTGACTTACTTGAGTTCATCATTAAATCATGCAGGGTCTTTCCCTCCTTCACTGATCCTCTACCTTTCGAAGCATGGTCCTTTTCCAAGGACTGGTCCTTCCTAACAATGTGCGAACCATGTAAGATGAAGCTTCATTATTCTTGCCTCCAAGGAGAACTCTGGCTGCACCTTTTCCAAGGCATATCTGTCTGTCCTTTTGGCAGTTTTCATGGGATATTCAGTACTTTTCTCCAACACCATCACTCAAAGGTATCAATTCTTCTTCTATAATATTTAGCCACTATCCAACTTTAAACTGCATATTTGGCTGCAAGGTGATTTTGGGAGTGGCTTCTGTTCCATGTTAAAAGGCTGCCTGAAGGAGATAGTCTCTGGAGTCATTATAACTTTTTTAAAAGGAATAAACCTTACTCTACTTTTATCTATACCATTACCCTGAAAAATGCGATACAGAGTTAAATGCAAATGATACAAAGTTAATCTGAGACATTTTGATATGCTAATCCTGTAATCACTACATTTTAGGATTAATGCCCTTCTTGTACATAAATTATCAAATAGAACATAACTTCGTGATTTTGTATCAAAATTTCAACTAGAGTAATAATCATTCCCAGTGAGCATACCCTATACTGCAGCTCCTATATTTATCTGAATTAAATTTCACGTCAATCTTATGAGACATAAGAATTTCCATCTAAGAAATAACTATTAACATTCAAATTTACAGGTAAGAAAAATGATAGTGCCAATATATGAACTTAAGCTTTCATATTGAAGAATCTCTTTTAAATGATCCTTGATATATAAATTACTGAGTCATCTATGAAGCAGCTGTTCTTTTTAAAACTTTGCCAACTTGTACTTAATCGTAACAACTGATTTATTATCAATAACAGTACCTCCATTTTCACTTGAAGAAACTGAGGTTCAGGATTATAAGGAACTTATTCAATATCACACATTTATAAAAGTTATGACATTTGGTTTTCAGAAAACCATCTCTAGAAATAGAATGGTAAACATCATAATATATATTCTCACTAGTAAACTGGAAATATTATAAGAAAATTATCAAAACAAATGTGAAACCCTCTTAAAGGTGGTAGGACCTACGTGGATCAACCTAAATATCAAGGCCAAACAATATAAGATGGACTTAGACTCAAAAACATGCACTTTAAATTTCCACTCATACACTGCTAAGGATTTCATTCTTGGTGATTCTTAGGGATCACAGCGGTCACTGTAGAATTGTCCATCATATCTCCAGGGCTGCAAACCTTTATGAAAGCAGAGTGCTTCGATTCTCTCCCATGAACAACTGGTCGGTTCAAATCAATAAACTATCATTTAGCAGCCAACCAAATCATCAGATCTATTCCTTGGACATTAGAATTGTTCTCCATAATTCATACTCTCCCCTACGTGTGTATATGTATATATTTATGTCTTTTGCTGACAAAGAATTATGCCTTTTCCTATTATTAATATAAATCATACTCTAAACATTTGTATGGAACAGTTTTGATAATTCCCAAATGTCAGAGTGCCACTGCTGTATACATAAATTGATTATAACACGTCCTTTCTTCTTAGAAATGCATTTCTCTACTTATATCATTTAAAAAATACAGTAATGAGATATATCAGATTATTTTTAAAAAACACACTGCACATTTAAAGACAATACTACATAATGAAAAACAAAGACAAATCTGATTCATTTCAATGGCATGAAACAATCTCAAAAATATGTAAAAGAAGCCAGATGTAAAGAATGCATACTCTAGGATTCAATTTATACAAAGTGAAAAATCAGGCAAAATGGTTATATGATGTTAGTAATCAGAATAACAGTTACCCATGGCAGACAGTGTTTTGATGGACCTCCCAGGGTAAGACAGATTTGGAAGTAGGAGTGACATCCACTTCCTTAAAAAATACTCCTCCAGAAAATCTATGAACTTTGATAAATGTTGACAGTTACAGAAAGGCTTTAGGCTTTTTTTTGTAGGGTGGCTATAAGTCATGTTCAATTTGAAGGTAATCAACAACAACAACATCATCTTTGGAAGGTGATGCAAGGAGATCTGGGGTTTTGATAATACCGTGATAATACTTCATCTGATTATAAAGATAATTTTATTCACTGAGCTTAACATTTTAGTTTGGGGTACTTATTTAGTATGTATGTTATACTTCAACAACAATAACAAATATACCTTTAGGACAGTATTTAAAATTATAATTTTGTCAATTGCAATTTAATAGTATTTTCTAAATCATGCAATGAATTTATCTCACAGTGATAGTTAAAACCAGATCTAAATAAGAAAATAAAGTTACAATTTTTCCTAAAAATGTTAACATTTTTTAGAAAGTTATGTTTATCAAAGTATAATGTATATACAGGGAAATTTACTTTTTGTAACTTTAAGGTCAGTAATTTTTGAAAATGTGTGCAACAATTACAATCTAAAAGATACGGAACAATTCCATGAGTCCTCCAATTTTCCTGATACCCTTTTGCAGTCAACCTCAAGCCCATGGCAAGGATTGATTTGCTTTCTGCCCCTGTGGCTTTGCTCTTTAAGAAAGTCACATAAATAGAAGCATATGCAGTGCTTTAAATCTGACTTCTTTCATTTAGGGGAATGCTTTTGAGAGTAACCAAGTCGTCCTGTTTCTAACAGTTTTTGGTGTTCTTTTTTTAATTTCTAAATAATGTTACAATGTATGACTACATCACAGTTTAAACACATTTGAATAAATTCTAGTTTGGGAAATTACGGCAAAAAAATTAAAAAAAGATTTGTGTATAAGTTTTTGGGTGAACATGAAGATATCTTTCTAGAATTCCAAGTTGTATTTTTACCTGGAAAAAGATTTCTTTATATTGTCTTTATTGTATGGTAATTTTGGTACCTCAGGAATATACCAACCAGATGAAAATACCATAAAACCAGAAATTACATCTGATTAAACAACACTTTACAAACAGAAAACTTTTGTAAAATGCTCCTTTAAAATTCTCTTATTCTTTGGCAATCATCTTCAGAGTAAGAACAAATATACTCCATTAAAATTCTAGATTGGCAATCCAACATCCTCCTTGAGTTGGATAGCATTTTTGAAAACGTACTTTCAGATACAGACTCTGAAATCATAATGAAGAAAAAGCAGCAAGCAAAATTGCTTTTAAAAAGAAAATATTTTACATCTCTTGCATATTACCCTCTACTTCTAGATATTAAAACTTTGCCCCAACTGGTTAGTATACTTTATCTATGATCCCAGATAAAGGATTTGAGTGACAACATGGAAATGTGGTGAATGTTACCTAGCATGTTGTGGTAAAGTGGAATGGCCCGTCCATGGGTAGTAAATGCAGTCATGACTAGTGGGACCGCTACACCTGCAGGCAATTACAGAACAGAAAACATCATTCTCCATTCAGTGACATGCACACACATGCACCAGTGCTCACACATGGAGCCTTGGAAGGAGAACATGGGGACAAGCACACCAAGTACCTATCCATCAGGCCAATGCAGTCTTCAATACTTGAGCCTACGCACCTGCAGAAAACGCAAATTTTAAAAATACAAGGAAAGAAAAGAAAGACATTATATTAAAAGACTCGGCAAGATATATACTGATTGTGTCACATTCTTAATTATAATGATCAGGCAATTTTTAGAGCAATGAGGATTTGAAACTGGTGGGAAGATCATGGCTTTATGGAAACACAGCAATGAATGACAATTATCATCAGTGTGGACCGCAAAAAATATAAGTCCATAGAGAAGGACATGTGACCCTACTTCTCTGAATGACTTTCAAATACACATTTTTAATACCTTCTAGTAGTTCAATTAATTTGCACTACTCATGAGTATATATATATATATATATACATATATCTTAATGATATTAAGATAGTAACTTGTTATTTCAGTAGTTATGTTTCCTCTTAAAACTTTAAGTTGAAGTAAAAAGAAAATCAGTGAAGATAAGAAAACATATTATTAGATATAACATAATACCTAATGCTTAAAGTTCATTAAAGATTGACTTTGGCAGAAAATGAATTAACATCCTGCAACACCATTCTCAAGGATATTTTCCATTATCACCTTATTATATTGTTTGGTTGTTACTGATTTTAAAAGATACTTATGTTTGTGAATTCATTTAAAAAGGAAATGAAGTGGTGTCACCATCCTGCAGTTTATCTTGATACTTTCTTTAAATACAGCAGTAGCATAGCTGGCAAGCAAAACAAGTTTATAAAATGGCACAATACTGACCTCAAACAATAAGAAATAAGTAAATATTCTGCAATGTGAATAAATTGAAATCCAGGTAACCAAAGAATCCAATGAGATTAACATTGAAATGGAATTCCAGGAGTACACAAAATTGTCAAGCACAGTTCTTAGAATTGCATTTTGTACCATTATAGGAATATTTTTTTTCCATTTTCCAATGTACTTAAATTGTTTTTCTTTCCCTTATCTCTCATCACATATAAACCACATCAGGACCTTATCCAGATTCCTTCAACAGCTGAGATTTTAGAAATGTTTGATTCAGGGAATAATAATGATATATTTACTTATATATACTTTTAATTTTCAGGGCCAAAAGAAGGTGAAAATAAAATTATGACATGAAATATAAAGGTGCGTCAACTGTCATTGGATATTTAGAAAACTCTAGCTATCTGTTGGACGTTATGCTGTGGGAGGCAGAGCTGACCAGATAGCATGTCCAGACAAATTTTGTTGAACTTGTAAAATTGTCTAATGGCAGTTAAGTCACTCTCACTCCACCTCTTAAATATTTGTTTTAACATTTTTAACATTTAACATTAATTAAAGAATTAATTTGTTTTGAAAATTTTAAAAACAAGGGAGTAAAATTTTAACTCAGAGGAATATGGGGACTACATTTGTGACACAAATGCTAAAGAAAAGCCCACCTCAAATAAGAATTATTTAGAGCATATCGCTTTGCATCGATACTATTATCCATAATCAAAAGCATTTGTAAAAATGAAACATCAACTATTCAAATCGCTTCACAATTGTCTTTACATGGTATTCTTTTTTTTCTTAGATTGCTATTATATATTCTTTAAAATGTGTGGGGTTTTTTAAAGTATTGCTATTTAATAAAACTAATATTCTATGTCTAAGAGAGACTCTGAAAAGCCAGAGTTAGTTTGAAGTCTCTATCTTTAGGTAAAAATTCTAGAAGTGGAATTCTAATTGAAAAAAATGTATGACTGATGAAAGACCTCTATTCTTCCATTAAAAGAATCTGTGTTACATGCGTACCAAGTCCCCCTACTGTTCTAGGAGCTGGAGGGAGGCAAAAGATGAATTAGGCATTTAGCCTTCTCTCACTGAGCTCACAATTTAATGAAGGAGACAGATGTAGAAGCAGATGTATACTGTTGAGGGTGATGCATGGTAATGTTGCTATTTGCTGTCATCAAGTTGATTGTGACTCATGATGACAAAGTATAACTACCACGTAGGGTTTTCAAACCTGGGGACTACCATGCCTGTCTACTGAGGTACCTCATGAAATAAGACCTGTGAATAAAGGCGAGTTAGTAAGATATTCTGGTGTGACTAGAATGCTCTGGTAATGCTTGTAGAGGAGTAAGACAGCTGAAGCTTATGGTTTGAGATCTGGCATTGGAGTGGCTGTGATCATTAAAAGTGATGTACAGTGAGGCAATATATGGAAACAACTAGAGAAACTCTGAGGTTTGAGAGCAATCAATGAGGAAACAAAGAAAGTAAAATGAAGATATTAGAGTGTGAGAATCAAAATGTCAAAATAAGTAATTAGAATATGTTGTTGTTGTTAAGAGCCGTCGAGTCACAGGTGACTCATAGCAACCCTATGAAGGAGAGTCCTCGACGCTCCAGGTTCATAGGGTTTCCAGAGGCAAGCTATTATGGAAGTGGATGCCACTCCTCCTTCCAAAATTAGAATACAGAATAACTAAAAAATAATGTTCAAAATTGAATAGTTAAATAAAGAATAGAAATGGAATTCATATTTTGTCTTAGTAATGTAATCTAGAAAAATATATAGAATATTGACTATTGAGATATATTCCATGTTGTTGTTATATTCTGTCTTGTTGATTACAATTCATAGTGACCATATGCACAATAGCTCTGAACCCTGCTCTGTCCTGAGTCAACCCCACTGTCTCCAACACACCTGCCCTCATTACCCTAGCTATTGTATCAAACCATCTCATCCGTGGTCTTCCTCTCCTGTGCTATCCCTCCACCCTTCCAAGCATGATGTCCTTCTCCAAGGACTTGTCCTTCCTGGCCACATACCCATGTATGAAATGAAGCCTCAAAATCTGCAAATATTTTACTGATTTCTAAGCATCCTGTTGTTAGGTGCTATAGCTCGGGTTCTAACACATATGAGTGTTTCATTCAACAGAAGGAACACCGTCCAGTACCAGCACCATCCTCACAGCTGTAACATACTTGGGCTCACACTGCCGCCACTGTGTTAATCCATTTCATTATGGATGGATCTTCTTTTATTTCCCCTCCTTTCTTGATCCTTTTCTGTACAAAACACAGTATTCTCCAGGGAGTGGTCCCCTCCTGGCCACATGTCCAGGGCATGAGGTGAAATCAGGTCTCCCAGCCCCTATAAGGACCATTTTGATCATACTTTCAAGATAAATGTGTTCTTTCTTCTGGTTATTACTGTGTACTGCTGAGTTGGAACCAACCCACAGCTGACCCTCCAGTAGGTTTTCAAGGCAGCAAGTTGCACAGGAACAGCTGGTAGACTCAAACCACATACCTTTGCATTGGCAGTGCAGATCTTTGTTGCTAAGCCACCAAAGCTCCCCTCTTCTTTTGGTTGTTGTTGATTTGCTAGGTACCACTGAGTCAAGTACGACTCATAGGAAACCTATGAACACAAGATCTGAAGCCTGTTCTAGCCTGTGCCATCCTCACACTTCCTGACATACAAGAGTCCATTGCAGCAGTCACTGTGTCAATCCACGTAGTTGAAGGTCTTTCTCTTCTGTGCGATCCTCCACGCTTCTTATTACCATGTCCTCCTCCAAGGAATAACTCCTCCTAGCAACATGCCCAAAGTATTTGAGGTGTATATTAAATATTCTTCACCAACATCTCAATTCAGATGTATAAATTCTTTCGTCCTCCTTATTCATTGTCCAGAAAGGAGAGGTGCTCACAAACCAAAACAGAAGATATCTTGACAAAATCTGTTCTAAAGTTTGAAACTCCAATGTGGATTTTTCTTTCATCTTAACTGAAATGATATACTTTATAATTCCATGAACAGGTCTGCTTGTATTCTTTCCCATATATAATGGGAATATATTGTGGATATATTTTAAATTATATTCAAAGGATTAATGAAACACAATCTTCAGGCATACATAAAATTGAGTAATATGAAATCATGTTTCTAATGTTAATTGGAATTTACAAGGCCTTCTGAAATAAGTATATCCAACATACAGGTTTAGTTTGAAATTCAATTGGCATAAAATTAGCTGGGATTCAAATGACATTAATGAGGAATACTGTCATCCCTGACCTTACTTCCATTTAATTACATACTAAATTTGGTTCAGAAGGTATCATTTTAAATATCAATCTTTCTATTATGAAATATTAAAATGAGTTCTAAGTTTTGCAATTTTGCTCATCATTTCAAAATCCTGTGCAGAAGGGTCTAATGGAAAGGTAAATAGTTCAAGAATGTGAATCCATTGGAATGAAGGACTCTAGAAATAGGAATTGCGTCTTCCTTGTTTCTGCACTAATCTATTACTATATCCAGCATCCAGTGATTGTTCAGTACAACAAAGTTGAAAGACTTATAAGGTAAGAAAAACAATCTGTTAACGTAGGACTATTCTAGCTGAGGAAAGAATAGGCAGTGTATTTTTTACTCCTTTTTGGTAAAGTTACTAATGAGAACCTCCTGATAGAGGCTAAATGGATAACTTATTTGAAAAGTATTCAAGTAACTTATTAGTTATCATATAATAACTAATATATAACTTACTGTTACTGTATATGTTGTTGTTGTTGTTATGTGCCGTCGAGTCATTTGCGACTCATAGCGACCCTATGTACAACAGCCCTAAACCCTGCTCTATTCTGTGTCAATCGCATTGCCTCTGACACACCCATCCCAATTACCCCAGTCACAGAATCAATCCACCTCATAGAGGGTCTTCCCCTCCTGTGCTGTCCAATGATGTCCCTCTCTAAAGACCTGTCTCTCCTTAAAACATGTCCAAAGTATGTCAGACGAAGCTTCAGAATCCTTGCCTCCAAGGAGCAGCCTGGTTTAACCCTTTCTAGGATGAATCTGTTTGTTTTCTTGGCAGTCCATGGTACATTCAATACTCTTCTCCAGCACCACAGTTCAAAGGCGTCAATTCTCCTTCTATCCTCCCTAGTCATTGTGCAGCTCTCTGATGCATAACAAGTGATTGCAAAGACCATGGCCTGTATCAGGTGCACCTTCGTCTTCAAAGAGACACCGTTGCTCTTGAGTTCTTTAGAGAGGTCCCTAACAGCAGACTTTCCCATTACAATATGTTTTAGATATATTTAATGTGCTTTTAGGGAAGAACAGCAATTTTAAAGTAGTAAACAAATAATTTTCTTTTCATAAAGTTGTTAAACAGGATTCTAAAAACTCTTAAAAAACACACACACATAGGTGTTGCTTCTAGAAGTGGAGGTGGTCTGTGAGCCCACACTTACCGATATTTAAATTATACTACACATTTAGGAATACAATTTGTCATTCAAGCCATTAGGATGAGTTGTCTCGTGGTCTTTCTTGGCACCTTCTCAATTCTTCATGCTTAATTCTGACTGTTCATTGCACCTCATCACCTCATTACAGGAGCCCAAAGCACCACCTCATCACCTCATTACAGGAGCCCAAAGCACAATGCTGGTGTACAATAGTGCACATAGAGAACTCAAATTCCCAGTTTTTGCTCTGGGGTGGGGATCCCAGAACATTTGTGAGATCCGTGAATATGGACCTAGAGTGGCTATTTGAAATAATGATTAATTGAGCAGGAAAAGAAATAAAAACAACAACAAAAGCCTTCAGGATCAAATTTGTCATTAATTAGATAATTCATTTGCTTCAGAAGAGGACTGTAAACACACACACTTCCAATCTTGTCTTGCCATAATTCTATAGCACGGAGATGCCACAGAGGCTTGCAGTCATTTATGTGGATGGCATGGAGATGCCACAGAGGCTTGCAGTCATTTATGTGGATTTCCTAATGATTTGGTGAGATCTGATCTCTATGACATCTTCATGCTCTGTTTTGGACAACAACCACATTTTACCACTGAAATATATTGCACTTTCACTGTCCTCCTCCTACTCTGTATGTTTCTTTTATTACATAATCATGGCTAGAAAGGATTTAGGGGAAGACACCACCCACGCATCCAGCCTGTCTCTCAGATCTCACGTTCTTTTCCCTAATGGCTTCATTGTAATTAGATTTGCCAAAACAGCAAAAGGTCTCATTTTGAATGGCAACAGCTGTTGACATCAGCATTATATTGAATAATTTACTGGTTTAATTTTAGTTGCAGAACAATAAAACCCTCTTGTGGATGATGATTTTAGCAGGCAAAGTTTTCTCTTTCTGCTGCCGACTTCTTTTCCTGCTCTGCCATCCCAGTTGTCGCTTCATGAAATACTCTTCACTCAAGTGGGCCAGAAACTCAGGAAACACAGTTTATTATTTATCATTTTCTTGAAGAAACTGTGTGACTATTTTGGTATCCTCAACCTATGTGCTTATGTGTAAATCTGTAAGTTCTTCCAGGCTGAATTTGAATTTGAATGGCAGAATATTACTGCATCTTTTGAGGCTCTGCCACTTCACAGAGTGACTTAAGTTGCTTCTTGACCTGCAGGAAATTGTAGCAGCATTTGCAAATTGATGTCTTCCTGGCAGAAAATCATGTTCCTTGCTGAACTTCTTCAATATCCCCTAACAGATAGCACTTAATCTGGTAGAAAATCTCTTTAGAGATTCTCATATTTTCCTGACTGATAGAGAGTACCCAGGCTGATTCTTAACAAGAGTCTCTATTAGTGTCTGTGTCTGTGTAAGTGTGTTCATGTGTGTGCATGTGCATGCATGTATAATAATGGCGAGCTTTTATGGATAGGAAGAGGATAGGGTATGTGAAACTGCATTCTATTCTAAATTCAAATTCAGAAGAAGAGAAGTGAAAAATACCTACTTACTGAAATACATTTGTGGTCTTAAGGAGTGGTTGTTAGAATCTATGAGAGGAGTTACGTTATTTTTCGCACACTCCTGCACTTTTCTGCTTCCTGAAGTGGGTCTTTGTTATACAACTATCATCGTTATTATCGCTAATGTACTTACTAATCTTTCCACAATTCATACTGTTGAAAAACAGAAGCCTATTCCCATCTCAAATTGTTCTCTATTGGTCATATTAATTCTAGCTTATCGGATAACCTATAATACAATTTCCTTCACAGAATGCACTTGTATTTCATTAACATGCATATCAACGATGCTCTTAATTTTACTTTTTCCACACAGCAATTTTATTTAGCATCACTGAAAGGCTAATGTTAAATCATATTTATTAAAGGGATCTATGTTTACCTTAACATAACTGTTGTAATAAGGAAAAATTCTGCTATAGATATAATAAATATTAAAACATGATTAGAATCTTGCCATTCTTAGAACATGGAATCTAAAGTTAAACAAGGACAATTTCTACAACCATAAACACATCTGACAAATCTTCAAGATCTCAGTAGTAATTTTAATAAAACAGAAATATTTCACAGCCTAGAAATGTCTTTTTTCTAGAAAAAGATGCTACTAAAATTCAACATAGTAAGTGCAGAGATCAGTAACATTTTACATGAGAATTAAAAAAAAATACTTCCTATGGTTTTAGAGACACACATGTGTACCCTCTAGGCCAACGCCTGGCACTTGGAGCCTTGGTCAGCCACGCCACCTACTTACCCTTGAGTACAGTTTGGGTGACAAGGGTGGCATTCTCGATCCTGATCGGCATACTTGAAAATGAAACTGTTTGCTCCCTGTAAGCCATCGGGACACTTCTCTACACAGTTTGGACCATCTTTAAAATGGGAACACTTAGTACAGTTGTCAGGTCCCTGAGGTATCAAAAGACAAAAGAAAAACAGGCAGAGAAAAAAGTAAGTGTTAGGCTCTTTGGAATGCATTCATGCTTATTAGTTACTGAGGCTTTGATGCGTTATTCTTCTAAGGAACTGGAGGGAAGCCTGGTGGCATAGTCCATGGTGAGCTGTACTGCCAACCCCTAGGCTGCATCTCTCTAGAAGCTGGCTCTGTAGGATTAAGATGAGCATTGTCTTCCTGAAGTAATTTACAACCTCAAAAACCTGATGCAAGGTCATTATAAAGCCAACTCAACTGAAATAGTTATTGGGTGGGTAGTCTAGGAACTAGAGTGCTTTTGCAGCCGTACAAAGGCTGGTGCATGAAGCTGTAGTAATACAAATGGCATTAATGAGAGCCTAACAGTTCATGTCATGGACAAAAACACAACCAGAATGTTCCTTAGGAAAAAACAAACAAACAAACTTCATCTCATATATTTTGGACCTGCTGTTAGGAAAGGCTATTATTTGGAAAAGGACATCGTGCCTGAAAAATAAACTTGAACCCCATTCTATCCTGTGCCACCCACACAATCTCTGACACGCTCGAGCCCTTTGCTGCAGTCACTGTATCAATCCACCTAGTTGTGGGTCTTCCTCTTTTTTGCTGTCCCTCCACCTTTACAAGCATGTCCCTCTCCAAAGAATGGCCTCTCCTAGAAATATCCACAAAGTATGTGAGAAGATACTTGGCTATTTTTGCCTCCAACTTTGGATGGATCTTCTCCAAGACATATCTGCCTGTTGTTTTGGCAGCCCCTGGGATATCCAGTATTCTCCTGTTACACCACACCTCAGCGGCATCAATTCTCCACCCTCCCCCATGATTATCAAGTTTATTAAGGAAGCAACAGATGACAATCCAGGTCTGCAACACTCAGGATACAATTCTTTTTATTTTCACTTTTTTTAAAGAAAAACTAATACTTTAATGAAAGTTTACAGAACATTTTCCCATTCATTCATTGTTGCGCAGTTCCCTCCCTACCCGTAGTTCACTTTTCTCTTTAAAAAGATTCTTTCATTGTTGCATTTTCCTCCCTTCGCTTGCTCCCTCAATCAATTATTTTTCCATCATTCTTATTTATTGTCTAGCTCTCAGATGCATAGCAGTTACTGAAAAGACTAAGGCCTTCACCAGGTGCACCTTAGTCCTCAAACTGACATCATTGCTCAGAAATAATATGGAGAGGTCCTGACTGCAGTCCTTAATTGCAGACTTTCCCGATGCAATATGTCTTTTGATCTCCTGACTGCTAATACCAAATGCACTTATTGTGGATGCAAGTAAGATGAAGTCATTGACGGACTCAATCTTTTCTCTATCTATCATGATGCTGCCTATTGGTTCTGCGATGAGGACTTTTAAATTGTTTTAAACATTGAGATGCAATCCATATTGAAGGCTGCAGTGTTTGATCATCTGCAGCAAGTGTTTTGATCCCAGTCCTCCTCACTTTTAGCAAGCTAGGTGGTATCATCTGTGTATCACAGGCAATTTGTGAGTCTTCCTCCAATCCTGATGCCACGTTCTTTTTCACAGAGTCCAGTTTCTCAGATAATTTTCTCAGCATACAGAGTGAGTATGCATGGAGAAAGTGTACAACCTGATGCACACCTTTCTTAATTTTAAACCATGCAGGGCTCCTGTGCTCTGTTCACACAATAGCCTCTGGGTCTAGGTATAGGTTTTAAATGAGCACAATTAAATGTTCTTCAGTTCTCTTTCTTCTGAATGTTAGCCATAATGTGTTATGATCCATACAGTCAAATGCTTTTGCAGTCAAAAGAGCAGAACTAGATATTCTTCTGGTATTCTTTACTTCAGTCAGGATCCATCTGAAATCATCAATGATGTTCCTGGTGTCATGGTCTCTTTTAAATCCAGCTTGAATGGGTTGTAGTTTTATAAGTACTGTTCTATCCATTTCTTAATGATCTTCAGCAGTAGTTTGCTTGCTTGTGATACGGTATTTCCACATTCTGCTGGCGCACCTTTCTTGAGATGTGAACAAATATGAATCCCTTCTTGTCAGTCAGCCAGGCATCTAGCTATTCGCCAAATTTACTAGCATAAATTGGTAAATAAAGTAATTTCATAGATTGTTGTTGATGTTGTTGTTGTTGGTACTGTAGAGTTGGAACCATCCCATAGCTGATCCTCTAGTGGGTTTCCAAGGCAGTTCAAAGTAGGGGAGGAGATTGCCCATCCTTCCCCATGAAACATCCAGTGGATTCAAACTGCATGTCTTTGGATTGCAGCTCTGCTTCTTGCCACCAGGCATTAACTTTCTAATATATAACATGCTAATAAGAAATGACAATATGAAATAAATCTGAGTGTCTTGTAGTCTCATAAAGTGCTGAAAGATAAACCCCTAAAGTTGGAAGTTGTTGTTGTTGCTTATTGCCGTCAAGTCGAGCCCGATTCCTAGCAATCCTATGAACAAAAAGCCTGAAGCATTTCTATAAATATTGTCATTTATCAAAGTTCATAGAGTTTCCATAGGTATGTTATTTAGGAAGTGGTTGCCACTCCTGCTTCCAAAAAAAAAAGTTGTAATAATCTCAAATATTTGTGAGGAATAGTTATCTCATCAAAGGTTTCAGGATCTTCTTGTGCTGATATGTTGTTGTTGTTAGATGCCATCGTGTTGAGTATGACTCACAGAGACCCTATAAACAAAAGGTCTGAATCATGTTCTATCCTGCACCATCTTCACACATCTTGAAACGTTGCAGCAGTCAGTGTCAATTCACCTAATTGGGTGTCTCCCTTCCATTCTTCACAGCATCATGTTCTTCTCCAAGGAATAGCCCTTCCTAGCAACATGCCCAAAGTATGTGAGGCAAAGCCCCATCATTCTCGCCTCCAAAGAGCACTCGGCTGCACCTTTTTCAAGATGTACCTGAAATTTACTTTTTTTTTTGAAATATTTTCTTAGGATGCCTGTTCTTTTGATCAATTTTTCCTATAACATTTTCTTTCCCTGACCGATTTGTTCTCCAGATCTGGTATTCCCACATAGTTAAAGAATATGAGAGTTCATATTCAAGATATTTTAAATAAATTAAATTCCGTTAATAGAGAGGGAGAAATTAGTCTTCTCAGCTTTTAATTGTAGTCAGTTGGATTTTGAGAGCCAAGAGCTAGCCAGAATTTTATAGGATTATTCACCAGACAGGATTCCCAGTGACACAAAGTGTAAAGGCTAATCTGCTAACACAACGTCCAGTAGTCCTATTTCCTAAGTGGTTCTATCTAGGACAATAGCTGTCTTTTTCTATAAAGAGTAAAGCCTAACCCTCTGGGATAGTTTTGCTTAGTCATAAAGGTCACACTGAATCGGGACTGTCCCTACGACACACACTAACAACATTGGACAAAAAAAAAATCTGTGCACCAGCTCCAACTATGACAGTACAGTTCTACAAAACTGTCAAGGAGCTCTGGTGGCCTAGTGGCAAGAAGCTGCACTGCAATCCCAAGGCACAGGGGTCGAGGCCACCAGCTGCTACGCGGAAGAAGGATGAGCAATCGCCTCCCCTGAGATTAACTGTCTCTGAAAACCTACTGGAAGGTCTACAACAGTACACAACAACAAAACTGTTAGTTCAAAATCTGCTAGTGGCTACAACTTGTTGATCACATACGGCATCAAGAAATACAATATTTTAAATAAAGATGGAAGCTGCTAATAAAGTTCCTAGTATGTGTCCTGAGTGGATTCTGACCCATAGGAAAGAGTATAATTAACCCATATAATTTCCTTGGCTGTTATCTTTTAGGGAACAGATCACTAGCTTTTTTTCCTCCAGAAAACAAGTGATGGATTTGAACCAGTTACTTTCAGTTACCAGGCCTTGCTTAACCATTGCTCAACCAAGCCTCCTTTGCTCGTGAAGAGTTGTAAAAGGGGGGGGAGAAGTATCCAGGGACAGAGTTTTGCAATGACTCTGCTGAGGTTTGGTCACATTTCTTCTTATTTTGCTACTTCGATATGAATGTCAGGGTTTATTTTTTTTTTTAAAGCCATCCTTTGTAACCTCATTCCTATTCAATGTGAAGAGTTTAATAATGACAATTTCTTATTCTCCACCAAAAAAGAATACTGCATAAGCTTCCAATTTTAACACCTGCTCATGGGTACTTAGGCACATAATGCTGTCTATTATACAAAATCATTTACTGTGCAAGTATGCTCAGTGACAGGACTTATTGTACAACAGACATACTGATGTTTCTTTTATAGAACACAAATATAAAACTACATACACATTTGTTATATTACTAGAAATTGCACATTATTTGTCTAAGTTTTTATAATGTAGAACCATGTCCAGCAAAATCTGAAGATCACCTCATAAAACCAAAAACCCTCTGAGTTTGTTCTTAAATATCATTTAATAAAGTAAATTAATTCCTCACCTCATTTCTATAAAAAATTGATATAAAAAAAGAAATGTGTCTGTTTTGTTATGTTCAGGCTACGAATGGAAACCTTAGCAGTTTGAACTCAGTCTCAGGACGTCATCTCAACAGAGGGATGACACACCCGGCCCATGAACAGCCTCACAGCCTTGGAAAGCACATGTCACAGTGTTCTTCAATCCAATAGGTCACTATGAGTTGGAATCTGCTCCAAGTTAATGTGCTTAGTAGTATTTCCAAAGGAGAACTTTTACAACATCAATTGTTTTGTTTTTAAACCTAAGTAAATGAATGAACTTATAAATGAGATAACAGAAAATGGAAGTGAAAGCAGCATTTGTCTCTCTGAGTATAAAGAGACTTTGAAGACAACCTAGAAGTTAAATAACTGAAAACTCAAACCTACTGTCACTGAGTCAAATGCACGTGAGAGAACAAAGGAGAACTGCTTCCTTCAGTTTCCAAAGCTGTAAACCTTTCTAGAAAGGGTCTAGTGGCATATCCCTTGGAGTGTTATGCAGCTAACTGAAAGACTGTACAT